TCTCTAATTATATGTTTATATTTGTTTTAGGACTATAAATAGAAAAACTTGGTTTAATATATAATTTTAAGTAGCAAAATGGCAACTAGTATGAGTATGGCTAATATACAGTCTACTCCAGCTACTTCATCATCACTGCGGCGAAAATCTGTATTTACAGAAAAAACAGTCCTTACTTCTGCTTTATCAGAAAATGATGATGAAGCAGAACGTTTGGCTCGTCGCCGTGAAATTAATGTAGAAAGTAAAAGCACTACACCATTATCTGGTCTAAGTTTGAATGATAGAAGACGTTCTTTGGGGATTAGTTTTCTAATGCAGATGCCACCTTCTCAAATGACAGAACGTATATCACAATGTATAAAGCTTGGTACAGAGAATAAAATTAATCCAAAAAATGCATTCAGTTTAGAAATGATTGACTTTATGATATACATGATCAAGAAAAAGGATGCCAACATGTGTAATTTACAAGTAGCTAGTACATCTTTAGATGTAAGCACTAAAATTTATGGATTTCGTGTTGATGGTATACATATGGAAGTATTGAAAATGATGGGTGGAATAGATAAGCAAGACAATGGTGGTGGAAACAAGAATAATTTTGAGGATATAAATTCTCAGAAAGATACAGAAGATAATCAAAATAAAGAAAAACGAGAAAAGAAAAAGAAAAAAAAATGTAAGCAAGTATTTACTACTGTGGAAGCTTTAAAAATAAATGTTGAAACTGAGAAACCATCTTTAATAACTATGGAGGCAGACTCACTGACCACAAATATGTTATATCAAGTGATGTTACCCAACCATGCAAATTCTAAATTTTATCCACATTCTTATAATGATATTTTGGTAGACACAGTAAATGGCAAAGACTCACAAGATAATGATACAACATGTAGAATTCCAAATATAGAAGACTTTTCACACATGGAAATTTGTCCACCTTTATTTTACTTTGACTTTCAAAGTTGGAATGCAGATGATGAACTAAATGAAGTTCAATCAGAAAAAAATAATGAAAACAGATTTGAATTTGATCTTAATGCAAGTTTACCACATGAGGATGAACATGTATTTAGCAGCATAAATTATTTTGATATTGAAGGGACAGAAGAGGAAGATGTAGATAAATGTGCTGAATATTTTCAAGTAGAAAATATTGTGGATTTTCGTAAAGTTTTAACTAAAACCTCACCGCCAAAAGTTTCGGAATACTCATTTATCCAAAAAAATTTTAATATACATTGGGCAGGTCCATCGCATTGGAAAGTAAGTAATTTCAGGAAAGCTTTATCTAATAGTAAGGTGATTGAAACATGTCGACAAGCACCAATGAGAAAGAGAAAAGAAATAGAGCTGTGTTATAATGATGAAACAATCAAAAGTGTAAATAGTAAATTTTTACCAAGTCAGATGGTTAAATTGCACAATAAAACTGTTAAAAACGAATGGAAGGAAGAAGGATTAGTATTACCTCCAGATGAGCATTATGATATCATACAAGCTAATAAATTATATCATCATACTACAACATTTAAACATCTAGAAAATACAGATAATATGAATGCTACTTCCTTATCTAATGAAATGGAAGATTATAATTATGAAAATGAAATACCAAACTGTGTTCCCAATAAACATGGAGAAAATGAAACAAATGACGTGATTGACAATGGTATCATATCTGAAAATGGACATATGTTAGGAACACAAATAGCTTTTACTGGAAATAATCTAGTTACCATACCAAAATTTACAAATAAATTAACCATTGCATACTCTGTACATGCAAAAAAAATTGACATGAAACAATTAAAACACTCTATTTGGAAATGCTTGAAGGGTACAAAACATAAAACTGTACAAGAAACAGCAACAGCAGAAGCAATGCAACAAGATGAAAATCTCAAAATGAATGATAGTAAACACTTCAGTGATATTTATAAAGAGTTACCAAATGTACTAACAAAAACTAATATGGAAGCTTTAAGCTTTCCAATTGCTTTTGTATCACTATTACATTTGGCAAATGAAAAAACATTAAGAATAAGTTCCTCTTCTGATATGGCAGATCTGATCATAGAGCAAAACTAAATATATTTATGAAAGTACATGTATTTATATATGAAATGTCAATAAAAGCAGTAAATATATTTTGCTTCAACTGGACAAATATATATAAAAAATGTTAATTGTATTTCATACTAATGTAATACTATTGTAATATTCACTATATTTATTAAATTTTGCAATAAGTCT